CCAAGGTTCATGTTTGCTTTTGGAATTGAGGCACAGTGAGAGACTGTGGTGTCTTTAAGATATATAGTTTATTTCCACATATACAGTATACAACCTGAGCCTACAATGGAGGGGTTCACAGCATCAACAACCCCCCAAAAGTCTTGTTTCACCCATAGTCTCAGCCTTGGATTCAAACAGATACTATTGCTCTGTCTCCCTGTCTACTCAGAGCTTGCTGTTTCACATCTGGCCCGTATCACAGCAACTGTCTCCCTCAATTCTAGCTTTGTCTGTTCAGGGAGGGGAGGCTCCCATTTGTCATGTCATACCAAGCACCATAATCCCCCACCCCCTCACCAGGAAGCTAGCTTGGCTATATCAGGAATTAGAAAGCTTGGGTAGCTTTTAACACTTGCTGGATCCAGGGATTAGAGGGGTCTGGCATACAGCTTAACATCCCAAACTCATAATAGTATTATAGTATGTCAGCTCCTTAGCGACAGAGACCTATCAACCCATTCTTCTTTGGCGATCACTTGTAGCCAAGTAAGATTGTCTTCCATGAACATGTGGATCCAGAATTGGCCTCCACAGTCACTTACAGAGTCACTGTCCTTCCGCAGTAGGGACTTAGGTTTCTGGGTGTGAGTTGATCATGGTGAGGGTTTGCCAAACATGCCTTCCTCTTAGCACGTTTTCCCCATTCATCCTGAGTTCAAGTGTCTTCAAAGTCCATGACACTTTTGGTAAAGGCTGTTCTCCAATTGTTGATGTTTATACTACATTTTTAAAGGTTTGCCTTGAGAGAGTCTTTGAACCTCTTTTGGAGTTTGGAATAGAGTAGTTGCTTTGGAAGACGATAATCAGGCATTTGAATAACCAGACCAGTCCGATGAAGTTGATGTTGAAGAATCATTGCTTCGACACCAGTGATCTTTGCTTCTTCCTTTACACTGGCATTTGTTTGCCTGTCTTCTCATGTGATATGTAATTTTTTTCAGAGACACCGTTGATGGAATCTTTTGAGGAGTTGGCATTTATAAGTAGTCCATGTTTCACAAGTGTACAGTAAAGTTGGTAGTACAACAGCTTTGTAAACAAGCATTTTGGTTTCCCTGTGAATGTCCCCATCCTCAGTCTGCACTTCAGTTGGGAGAAAGCTGCACTCGCTGAGCTCAGGCGATACTGGATTTCGGCATCAATGTCTGCCCTTGTGGAAAGATCATAGAATCATAGAATCATAGAGTTGGAAGAGACCACAAGGGCCATCGAGTCCAACCCCCTGCCAAGCAGGAAACACCATCAGAGCACTCCTGACATATGGTTGTCAAGCCTCTGCTTAAAGACCTCCAAAGAAGGAGACTCCACCACACTCCTTGGCAGCAAATTCCACTGTCGAACAGCTCTTACTGTCAGGAAGTTCTTCCTAATGTTTAGGTGGAATCTTCTTTCTTGTAGTTTGGATCCATTGCTCCGTGTCCGCTTCTCTGGAGCAGCAGAAAACAACCTTTCTCCCTCCTCTATGTGACATCCTTTTATATATTTGAACATGGCTATCATATCACCCCTTAACCTCCTCTTCTCCAGGCTAAACATGCCCAGCTCCCTTAGTCGTTCCTCATAAGGCATCGTTTCCAGGCCTTTGACCATTTTGGTTGCCCTCCTCTGGACACGTTCCAGTTTGTCAGTGTCCTTCTTGAACTGTGGTGCCCAGAACTGGACACAGTACTCCAGGTGAGGTCTGACCAGAGCAGAATACAGTGGCACTATTACTTCCCTTGATCTAGATGCTACACTCCTATTGATGCAGCCCAGAATTGCATTGGCTTTTTTAGCTGCCGCGTCACACTGTTGGCTCATGTCAAGTTTGTGGTCAACCAAGACTCCTAGATCCTTTTCACGTGTACTGCTCTCAAGCCAGATAACCAGAAATAAACCAGTAACGTATAATATATGAAGATGCTTTTTGCATAATAATGAAAAAGGTAGTCAAACCACTAACAGGACCTGAAATTTTGTACATGTTTTTCAAAACACCCAACCCAGGAAGTGGAGCTATTTATAGTTGGGTGGTAGTGAGGAAGAACTTTCACTCTCTCACCTAGTTCCTCAGGACTTAGATGAATTCTTAAGAAATGGCTTCCCTTGCAGTGAGGATCATCCTTGCATTGTACAGTTGCAACATGTCTGGAGGCCTTCTTACAGGCTTCTGTACTGCAGCAGGATCCTAATTTGCTCACAGGACAGCCCCTTTTATCAGACTGGAGTCAGCACAAAATCGGGTGCTGGTGAAAGGAGAAGAAGGAATTCAAACAAAGAAAGCTAGGCAACACCTACCACAGATATTTATTCCTGCACAATACTGGTACCTTTTAAAATTGCATAAGGCATAAGCAGTCCTGTGAGAAGCATCTTCTCTTTCTCCCCTTCTGCTCTGGGTACTCATGCAAAAGGGGTTGCATGGGTTCACATCCCCTCCATGCACTGGCTGCACAACCCACTGAATCCTTGTGGGCAGTGCAAAAGCTTGTGCGGTTTGAATATACTGAATTGTACAGAGAATACCGTGCAAACCTCATCCCATGGTTTTTGTATCATCTCTGGTGTCTGGTTGGACAACATGAGCGAATGGATTGGAAAGCTGGTCTGTTACAATTTAATTACTTCTGGTTCTTTTGCTTTAGCTGTGTCCTCCTCCTTTTCCTCCTCTTGCTGTGATGGGCTAGCTAGCTGGTCAAGGTTGCTGCTGTGGCTGCCTCTGTGACTAACAGCCTTTAGGCTCCACTGCTTTCATTAGTGCCGTTGTGGTTGTGGGAAGCCAAAAGAGGGAACATTTGAAAAGAGCAGTGATGGAAATCCTAAAATGTGTGTGTATTTTAAAGAATGCTGATTTATTTTTCTTTTGTCCCCTCCCCCCCTTTTTTGCAGCAAACAGTTACATGCATACTGCTCTGTGTTTTGTTTATATACTGTAAATTTCTGATAGCTGGAATCCCCAGCAGATTCCCGAAAACCCTATTCAGGATTTCCAACCCCTAGTATAATAATATATTGCAGGGCATGTGGAAATGGCATGGCCAGCAAATGACTAAGAGCTGCCTTGGTAGACAGAGCAGCATTCAGAAGGAAACTTGGGAACTTGGGATGAGAGAAACCCCATACTGTGAAGGGGAAATGCTGGTGCCATTTGCGTGTGGGAAACACAGCTTTGTGGGACTTGGTCTGTGGTAGGTGCTTCAGAGTGGATCTGAAGTATTCTGCAAATGTATCCAAGCTAAACATAAGCTAAACCTAGTGGATTTCAGTGGCTGGTGTGTCATCTCTGTGGTCTGAAAAAGGGTTTTCCTTTTTCTATTATTGCCGTCATGATTGAACTTTGTGGATGCTCACAAACAAGCACCTGTCAGCTAGCTTTTATCTGGTGTGAGCTTCAATCCAATGGCATTTTTACACATGCACCCACAAATGGTAAAAGGGTGTGCATCTTTAGTAACACTGGCTGGAGTGAAGAAGGCAGCATTATGTTCCTAAAATTAGGAACATAGGAAATTGCTGTATACTGAGTCAGAGCAGTGGTCCATCTCTGACTGGCAGCCTCTCCAGGGTTTCAGAGGGCATTCCAAGTCCTGCCTGGAAATGTCACTGGGAATTAAACCTGGGACCTTCTGCATGCAAACAGAGTTGGAAGAGCCCCCAGGAGTCATCTAGTCCAGCCCCATGCAATGCAGGAATCTTTTGCCCAACATGGGTCTCGAACCCATGACCTTGAGATTAAGAGTCTTGTTGTAAACATAACTTAAATGTGAAATGATGACCCATCTCCTTTCACATGCTCAGCCTAGAGAAGCTGATCAGAAGCAGACAATTTTTAGCATGCCTGGGTTGGACTCAAAGGTTGGTTGTGCACGAGAGAGGCTGTTCCTGCAGCCAATGTCTCTCAATTCCTTCTTGACTTCTTTACTCTCCCAAAGGTTCTTTGGGGGATTCGTGTGACCCTCAAAACAGCTTTGGTTATATTCCAGGGACTGCAGCGTCAGGAGAAGAGATCTCTCTCGAAACTGGGCAGACATCTCTTGTGAAACTGAAATATACTGGGAGTCGAGAGTGGATTTCATGCTCTTTATTCAGCTAATAGTGGTGAGGAGGAATGGAAGTTCCCCCAGAATGTCTGCTTTATATACATTATTTACACAATGGGCCCCACGTGATTGGCTAATTCCAGGATTCACCTGTAGGCCAATCAGGTTGCGGATTCACTTCCACCTGGAGCCTGGATTGGGTGGCTCCTGTGGACCAATCAGACTGCTGCATTCTGGATCCTATTGTTCTAGGACCAATCAGACTGCTGCATTCTGGATCCTATTGTTCTAGGACCAATCAGACTGCTTCCTTTTGGATCCTGTTCAACTCAGTACATAACAGAAAGCAATGTACGAGGAATCCTTTTTTTTTTTTAAAAGAAGATAACTGCCTTATGCTGAATCAGACCGTTGTCCATCTCGTTTAGTATTGTCTACATGGACTGGCAGCTGTTCTCCAGGGTTTCAAACAGGCGTCTCTCCTAGCCCTGTGTGGAGATGCCTGGGATTGAACCTGGGACCTTCTGAAGGCAAAGTAGATGCTCTGCAGCTCAGCTACAGCCTTTCTCCAAAGATTATATAGTTCTGTGTCTGGAATTTCCCACCCTCCATCCCTTTTCTATTTGTTTTTTTTATATAATATTTTTTTGATGGTACATTACAAACTTTAGTTTCTGAGGGGGTTTCTGTTTTTCAGAGTACTCTGAATCCTTCAGTATTAGTGTCTAAAACCAAAACCTCTCAATAAAACTGAAATTTCCCCGTGGAATGGGTTTTATTATTTCTTTTAGCATGACCCTTCATGAACTCTGCAGCTATCACAGCAGTGCTGATACAGAGTCTCTGGTCCCCCCGCCCCCGTTGTGCTACCAAGAGATGCTTTGGGAGTGAGTGTCATTCTGTAACATTCCACCCATTCCTTTTTTTTTCTTGCTACAGGTTGAATTTTGCTTTTGAAAGGTGGGGGGAAAGGCATTATCTCTGGCATTTTCTATTGCCCCCCACCACAAGCTGCTTCCTGGATCCTTTCCACCTGAACTTATGACCAAGGATTCCACCATAGCCCCAGCTCTTGCTTTCCAGTTCCAGAAGATGGGCTCATTCCGGAGGCCCCGGCCACGTTTCATGAGCTCCCCGGTACTGACCGATTTGCCACGGTTCCTGGCAGCTCGGCAGTCTCTGCAGCTTAGCTCCAACTCTGCCTGGAACAGGTGAGCAGCACTCTTTTCACTCAGAAAAGCTGCCTTTGCATAGCTTAATTGAATTTAATTGAGTAAATGTGTGTACAGTATGTGGGAGAGGCTCCATTATATTCCATCATGCATCGGCAACTTGCCTACACAGGCATTCCCACCACCCCCCAAATGTAGCAAGTGCATTAAAACTAGATGAATGAATTTGTGTAATGCCTCTATTTTTGTGTGTTTGATGGCATCTAGTTCTGTTTCCCCAATCAACCTTTTAAGCAATGGTAAGCAGTAGAAACTATCCATACTAGGGAGTCTTCACCGGTAGGTATGGTACATATTTTCAGAGTATATAATTTTATATTTGTTTTTTACAGAATTTTTAAAAAGCATTCAAAACTATATGTAGCTATCCTGCCTCTTGGTGCATCTGTAACAACAACAACAACAATAATAATATTTATTATTTATACCCCGCCCATCTGTCTGGGTTTCCCCAGCCACTCTGTGCGGCTTCCAACAGAATATCAAAATACAATAGTCTATTAAACATTAAAAGCTTCCCTAAATAGGGCTACCTTCAGATGTCTTCTAAAAGTCTGCTTGTTGTTCTCTTTGACATCTGGTGGGAGGGCGTTCCACAGGTGGGTGCCACTACCGAGAAGGCCCTCTACCTGGTTCCTTGTAACTTGGCTTCTTGCAGCGAAGGAACCGCCAGAAGGCCCTTGGCACTGGACCTCAGTGTCCAGGCAGAATGATGGGGGTGGAGATGCTCCTTCAGGTATGCTGGGCTGAGGCAGTTTAGGGCTTTAAAGGTCAGCACCAACACTTTGAATTGTGCTCGGAAACGTAATCTCAAACCATAGCTTTCAATTCTGGTTTGCAGGGCGAGTGCAAACCATAGCTTGCTGATTCAAATGTTAAGACGGTGGTATGTTTTAAACTGGAAGTTAGGAAAAGAATCTGAGCGCTAGCTTGGCAGGAATGCAAGAGCCCTAGGCTCGGTTGTATAATGTCAGACAAGGTTTGATGTTGCAGCTTCTGACATTAGATCAGGAGCCAAAAGCCCATCCCTAATCTGATGCTTGCTGTTTTCTGTAGAATACACCAACTGCAGTGACTGACTCCAGTCACATTTTACTCTCAAAACTGTGCTGTGGAATTTCTTTGCTAACTGCATTGTTCCGCATGATAGAGGGGTAACTTTGTACAAGCAGATGCCCACACAGCTGAATTGAGTCTATTTCCAAATTCAGTGAAGATTCTTGTTCCCTTGACTATGGTGGTCTGTTTTCCCCTACCTTTCCTGGGTAAGACCCTTGATGGAATAGGGGTCCTTGGTTCTTTGCTGTGATGGACCACATAGTAACACAGGTAGGAAATCTACAGTACTTGATCCCTTTCCCCCCTTGTTGGGGGAGTCCCGCCTGGTGACTGGGAGTGGCCGCCGGGACCACATAACACTGGTTCTGAGAGATCTGCATTGGCTCCCAGTACGTTTCTGAGCACAATTCAAAGTGTTGGTGCTGACCTTTAAAGCCCTAAATGGCCTCGGTCCAGTATACCTGAAGGAGCGTCTCCACCCCCATCGTTCAGCCCGGGCACTGAGATCCAGCGCCGAGGGCCTTCTGGCGGTTCCCTCATTGCGAGAAGTGAGGCTACAGGGAACCAGACAGAGGGCCTTCTCGGTAGTGGCGCCTGCCCTGTGGAACGCCCTCCCATCAGATGTCAAAGAGATAAACAGCTACCTGACATTCAGAAGACATCTGAAGGCAGCCCTGTTCAGGGAAGTTTTTAATATGTAACACTGTACTGTTTTTAACACTTGATTGGGAGCCGCCCAGAGTTGCTGGGGAATCTGAGCCAGATGGGCAGGGTATAAATAATAAATTATTATATTATTATTATAGTTAGTACAAGCCTGTGAAACACAGTCATTTTTTTAAATGTCTAGCCATCCATTATATCTCTACTCCCATCTTTCCAAGAGGAAATGGGAATACAAGATGGCATTTTTTTTTTTAGTTTGTTTTTTGTTGCTGAACAAGATGATGCAGCGGTCATGAAAAATGGCACTGAAAATGACCTGTGCCACTGGGTACTTGCCATGATCGCTATGCTCTACCTCCACTGTCAGAGGCAGGGAAACACAAATGGAAAGAGTATTTTTGCACTCTGGTCCCGCTTGTGGGCTTCCAAAAGGCATCTTTTTGGCCACCATGAGAACAGGATGCTGGACTAGAAGGTTCTTTGCCCAGCAGAGCTCTTGTTAGGTGGCAGTAGTTTAATAGCAGTAGCTTAGTGTGGGTCTAATAACTTCTGCTTGTTGGTGAGTGAGCAGGTATTAGTCCCTTGGTGTGTATAAACTGTGTTTTCTGCTCTGTTACTTATTGGCAGCCATTGGCAAAGAACTCTGATGATTCCAGGGAGAGGGGGAAAAAAGCAGAAGCAATTTAAGGACAATTAATCTACTTCTCTGCTTACTGATATATTTACATGGCTCCTGACTGCTGTTTCATTGCTCCGTGTAAATCATACTGATGCAAGTTATTTATGGCTGCCCTAACTGTCTTGCTTCTATTTGGCAGTGTTCAAACAGCAGTGATCAATGTGTTCAAAGGGGGAGGCTTGCAAAACAATGAACTCTACATCCTCAATGAAAATGTAAGGTATGTTGCTCTGACTCTGTTGTATGGAATTGCCTGCCTGATGCAGAACAGGTGGCGCAACTGAGACCTGTGTGTATATGACCATGGCAGTTGGTTGGTTTACGAGATTCACAGCCTGCCTTTTTTATTTTTATTGGCAGTGATGCAGTAACTGTTGCTTGAAGCTTTTCTTATATATCAACACAGAAATGCACTAAGCGGTAGCAGGTGGAGTGGTGGTGCTCTCTCCTGACAGCTGAGTTACTGCTTACCAGGAACGAGAGAGGCGAGGCACTGGGGAGGTTGACATGGTGCAAACATAGTGTTGGGAGCACAGGATTGGCTGTCTCCCTCTTCTTATTGATGACCACCAGTGACTCAGCTGTTGGGGGTTAGGTGAGCACTGCTCACCCCAACACATCATCTTCTACTGGCACTAAGCATAAAGCTCATCATGTACAAAATGATTCTACATGGGGAAAGTGAGTGCTGGATCAGACCCATATGCCAATAGATGACATCAGGCTCTTGATAGGCTGCTTTGATTTCCACTGTACCCCAATCACACACTCACCAAATTATTGAACTCTCTGTGGAGCTAGGAAGCTGATAGTATTGCAGATGTTTTAGTTGACTAATAGCAACTACTCTGTACACGGTCAGAGATATTGTTATGCATAGTTATATTTGCAGGATCCAGAGCAGAGATCCCCAAAATTAGGGAATTTCCACATACCTATTATTTTTTAAGGTATGGTTGTTATTGAGCTCTTTTCTCCTCCTCTTGCTGCTTCAGGAATGAGTGAGCGCGGGTTTTTTTGTGGTTTGATTAAATAAGCTTGAACCTTGGGTTGCTGCCCATTCTTCAGTCACAGTGATTCATGGAGGTATATTTCAAAAGGTGAAATCAGATTTCTGCTTTGATGGTTGGCTTCTAGCGGCACTGGATGCTTGCGGTTTGGGTTCTAACTTAGGTGAAATTAATGGTTTGGCACTGAATTGTGTGTGTTATAGGCATGGCACCTGGGCAACAGCTGTATGGGGGCTCCGACCTCCAACATCTTGACATATATTTCATTGTTCATTAATTTCTGAGTATCTCAGTCCACTGGTAAAAGCTGGGATACTTGCAGTGTGAAAGACAGACTAGTTACTTGCGTGCTAAGTTCATTTAAACAAAAGCCCTCATCAGACAATTATGCTAAAAGATTAATTTCCTAGAGTAAGACTCTACAAAGTGAGCACTGGGTAGAGTTTGTTTCATTTCCCAGACTTGGGTTTTTCTCTTTGCAGTGCCAGCAATCATGGCTTTTAAAATACTACTCTTAACCTTGAGTAACCATAAAGAATGACCTCCTTGTCTTTTCTCATCCTTCAATGTCCTCTCCCCAACCGCCTTTATGAACTTAGTTTGAACGTCGTCAACACAGAGGAAGCCAAGCTGTTTTGACAAAAGGTTATCAGTGTTTTGAGTGCCACTGTTTTGGGGATGAAACTGCTGAGGTTACGCAAAGTTATGTATTAAGTTAGGAACAGTTTTAACATTCTCCATGGCAGTATAAAAGCCTTTTTGTACTCGTCTTCTTTTTTTCAATATTCTACTTGAAAACAAATCTATAAGGCATGAAATTCCTCCCACAAGGTTTGATTTAAAAATGAAGGCTCCTTAAAATTTTGTTCACTGATTTTTATATCATTGGAGTAAGACGATTGCTTCTGCATGCTTTGACAAATTACTTTATAAGTTGCCTCTGGAATCTGATTCCTCCCTCCCCTGTCACCCATCAAACTGTTTTCTTAATGCATTCTCCAAATTTAACCTTAGAAAGATAGGTTGTCCTTTAAATTGTGGGGGAAAAGGTAGTACAATTGATCTTGCTTTATGGATTGACAGTATTACTATTATACTTATCTTCATCATTTATTAGAATTATATAGCCACCCCTCAATAAATATTCTCTGGGTGGCTTACAAAAAATAAAATCACAGTAATATATAGAAATGACAGTAATCATGAGGGAAGAAATGGCATTAAATAATTTATAGCCAGGATTTAAAATGCACTTGAAAAACCTGGGCGAATAAAGATATATTTACCTGGCACTGAAAAGGCCATCTGGATGATGCTGAAAGACCCTTTCTGGGTAGGCTATTCAACAGCAGAGACACTATATTGAAAAGGCTCCCCAATGACATGGACTGGTTGGACGCAGAGGAATAACAAAGTAAATTGGAAAATTGGTAGATACTGCAGTTTCCTTTGGACAATATGTGGTTGCTTTCTGCTTTCCCCCCTCTCATAACATTCTGTGACTTTTAAATTTATTTGTGGTCTGCAAACGGTAAATTATATTCATATTTTGGAAGTTAGGAATGGTGGTCATGCATTTTATTAAGCAGATTGGCTTGTAGCAAGAACACAAATAGTAAGTGTACTGGAGTGGTGGGGTTGGAGAGAAGGCTGGAAGATGTCAGTCAATAATATGATGGAGAGAATGGCTTTTTTCATCTTCATCTCACATGCCCAGATAAGAACTCTGTTGGCAAACTAGTTTGTCCAGTGATTAGGATGATTAAAAAAAAGCAAGGACCAGTGACCAGTGAGAAAATGATCGACAGATCACACCAAAACACCCTTGCATCTCTTTTGTGGATCAACTAGAGTGGTGCCTCGCAAGACGAAATTAATTCGTTCCGCGAGTTTTTTCGTCTAGCGAATTTTTCGTCTTGCGAATCACGAATTCCCATAGGAATGCATTGAAAATCAATTAATGCGTTCCTATGGTCAAAAAAAAGTCCAAACAAAGCCAAATTTGGTACAACAAGAGTTTATTAAGTGCTCTTTAAAGTCACACATACTGTAAAGAGCATTTCAAAAATTGAAGGAACAATAATTTAAGTTTCTAAACATGACAGAAAAACATTTAAAAATCAACAAAGTGTACAGTACATTTTCTAAGACTCTGAGGGACAACTTGAAGAAGGTTCCTCTTCCACTCTTTGCTTCTTGCTGAAGAACCTGTCCATGGTCTGCTGCTTCATCCGCCTTTTCAGCACCTCCCTGAAAGGCGACATGACCCTCGTATCAAAAGTGTTCACAAGGTCATGTGCCACGTGCTTGTCAGGGTGGTGCCGCTGTGCAAAAGCCTGCACATCCTTCCACTTCAGGCAAATGTCCCTCAGTTCTTTGGAGGACAGCCATTCCTCAGTTGCTTCCTCCTCTTCCAGCGAGGCCTGCTCCTGCGCAGCCTCTGCCTGCAGTTCGACCAGCTTCTGGGTGGTCAGCTTGTGGTCGTGCTCCTCCACCAGCTCGCTGATGTCCTCCTCTGTGACCTCCAGGCCCATGGTCCTCCCCAAGGCAAAAATGTCCTGCACCACTGTTGACTCTGGTGCATCAGAGTCACTTGGTGCCACACAGTCCAGCCACAGGCTGCGCCAAGCGCAATTCAAATTTCTCTGGCTGATCCCGTTCCAGGCTGTGGTGATCATCTTCAAGCAGGTGACGATGTCGAAGTGGTCCTTCCAGAATTCCCGCAGGGTGATGGTGGTGCAATCAGTCACCTCGAAGCATCGCCTGAAAAGCTCCCCCAGCCCCTCCCCAACTGTTGCAAACCCCTCCCCAACTGTTCCCCCAGCCCCTCCCCAACTGTTGCAAACCCATCCCCAACTGTTCCCCCAGCCACCCAGCACACAGAAATTCAAATCCAGATTTTTTTTAAAAAAACAGCAGAGTGGCCCAATGGTCACAGAAAATCATAAAAATGCAGAAAAAAACACACAAGCTTCCAGATTCTTGCAAACCCCTCCCCAACTGTTCCCCCAGACACCCACCACACAGAAATTCAAATCCAGATTTTTTTTAAAAAAACAGCAGAGTGGCCCAATGGTCACAGAAAATCATAAAAATGCAGAAAAAAAACACAAGCTTCCAGATTCTTGCAAACCCCTCCCCAACTGTTCCCCCAGCCACCCAGCACACAGAAATTCAAATCCAGAATTTTTTTTAAAAAAACAGCAGAGTGGCCCAATGGTCACAGAAAATCATAAAAATGCAGAAAAAAACACACAAGCTTCCAGATTCTTGCAAACCCCTCCCCAACTGTTCCCCCAGCCACCCAGCACACAGAAATTCAAATCCAGAATTTTTTTTTAAAAAAACAGCAGAGTGCCCCAATGGTCACAAAAAAATCATAAAAATGCAGGAAAAAACACACAAGCTTCCAGATTCTTGCAAACCCCTCCCCAACACCAAGTCCTTGAATTCCAAACACCCTAACCCAAAATCCAAAACCCACCAAAAAAGTTTTAAAAGCTTAACTTACCAAATGGCTGCAAAAGAAGTTTTGGAAAAGCTTCAAAAATCACCAGAGTCTTTAAAAACCTCAAAAAAGGCTACTATGTACACTGCGTTCTATGAGTTGCTCCTCGAAGTCACGTCGCAACTGTATTAACGGTGTTAAGAAAAAGGAAACAAACTTGCAAGACATTTTCGTCTTGCGAAGCAAGCCCATAGGGAAATTCGTCTTGCAAAGCAGCTCATAAAACGGAAAACCCTTTCGTCTAGCGAGTTTCTGTCTTGCGAGGCATTCGTCTTGCGGGGCACCACTGTACATCAAAAGAAAACACTGTGACCCATAAAGAGAAAAGTGATTTAGGACAGCAGGCCTTCCCTTCCTCCCTCTGTGTGTGGGTGTGTACATCAAGCTAGTTTGCAGCTGCGTAGTACTCATATCCCAACAAACTGTTCTGGGTTTAGGCAACAAACCCCCAAACCCAGTGCTGTTTCTCTGGTCAGTGGCCATATCAGAAGCATCATGGGAAACAGGAAAGAATTTAAAACAAAAAGAATGCTTCAAGATGGTTTGCAGTCCTTATTGGTACACCTGTGTTTTATAGAGTTGATTTTTATTGAATGGGCTCTGGGAAATCTGCCTGTAAAACATTTTTTATAACATGTGATCCATTCCTTTTCAGGCGATTGTTGAAGAGTGAACTTGGATCCTTCATCACAGACTATTTCCAGGTAACATCTGTTCCTTAAGTGGACAGTTAAAGCTTTCCAAAGTTGTTTTTGTCTTATCTTTTGGCTTGTTCTTATGATGCTTGCTTTGGCTTTTTCTGTCCTGTAAAGAAAATGGGATGGATTCATTTTCATGAGTAGGTTTTGCATACTGTTGCCTCTTCCAAGCAAAATCTTGGATCTTGGACAAAGGGTTGCATAGTTTGTATGAACAACATTGCTTTCATGGTAATAATCACTGAAATAAGGGTGGACAACTCTATTTCAGTTTGCCAGGAGATACACAATGGCAGAGTCACAGTTTTTATTTAATTAGCTAACAAGGAGGCCTCACGAAGGACTGGTTGTAGTATTTTAATATCCACAAGCAATTCCCCCCCCCTTTCTTTATGCATTTCAGGGCGAAGTCCTGGCACTAAAAATCAGTGTCTGGAGTAAAACTTTGTTTAAATTGGCTGGTGACCCATCCCATTCACTGCTAATCCACACTGGGTGTAGTACACTTAGAAAGACCAGTTGCATCAAAGCAACAATGGTAGCTCAAAGGAAATGGCCCATTCCACAAAAGAAATTACTTTGGGATGTTCCTAATTCCCCATTCCTGGTGCTTCTTGTCAAGTGGCTCTAGGTGCTGCTCTAAAACTAGAGGTGCTCGTTGTGGGTCTGTGCTATGATGACAACACTTACCTCTATGCAAGAGCTATGCAGTGGTGAGATGAGATGCTATTCAAGTAGAAATTGGTAGCATTTATGTGTGGGATGGAAATGAGATAAGTGGTCAACCCACACATCCCTGGTATTCCGTTGTGTGAGCACACATTCTGTGTCTTGCTTTGAAATGGTGAATGGAAATGTTAACAAGGCTTTCCAGAAATTCTGAAACTTGCCCGGCAGCAATCATTCACATACTGGAGGGGAAATGATGCATTAGTCAAAGTGAGATACTATAGCAGGTGGATCACCTTTAACCACAAGTTGGGGGCTTTCACCTGCAGTTCACATTGGTTCAGTCTAGGGATTCAGGGATGAACAGCTCCTAGCCACAGGCTTATGGGCCTTTCTTGTGTGTAGGAGAGGAGGAGATTAGAAGCTTCTGCTTCTGGCTACCAGCAAATCATAGTTAGCTGTTAATGTCTCGATGCAACAAATTTCCAAACTATGGTTTGATCCTGGTGGGTCATCCTGGTTTGTGGTAAGGAAAGAAGCGAGTGCATAGACCTTAGTCTCCCTGGTGCCCATTCCCGATTCTCCAAACCATGGGTTTATCATGTGAGTAACAAACTTTACGATGCAGTCTTAAACACACTAGGGAATAAGCCGCACTGGACACAGTAAGCATGCAAAGAATTTCACTGAGTTCTGTTGCCCTTTCTGCAAGTGTAAAGTAATTGAATCCAAAGAGATGCCTGTTGCTCCTGGTTTCACAGTTGCACACTGTGCTGCACATTATTACGATTGTTGAAGGAAATGAGGTTTCACCAATGCCATCGTCAGTAAAAATGTGATGCATGGGAGCAATACATGCATTTTTAAAACAGCCGTGTACATGCATCAGGAAGATCTGGGCCAAGTGGATTTCTCAGAAACCCAATATGGATGTCTAAAGATGCTTGAGCATGCCTATTCTATGTTGAAATGTTTGCTGCATAGTGGTAACACACATGCTTCCTGCAGCCATCATAATGTCACCAGTAGCTCCGTTGAGACAGGGCTTCTCATAGCAACATGATTTCATTGTGCCGTATTTCTCTCCCGGTCAAAAAGAGAGGAAAGAAAAGCTATAAAAAAATCCGAACTTGCCAAAACTGCCTGTATGTGTGCCAGCACTATAAAAATAACTGGATGTGATCGTTTCCTGTAGATATTTTATTGCATGCCATTTTGTAGTACAAATTTGCAATGGCAATCCTCAAGGCAAGCGAGCTTCATCATGGTAGATTAATCAATGAAAGCTTTAGTGGATTAATTGAAAAGGATTTGAGTTAAAAGCACTTCTGTTGACTGTTTCGTTCTGGCATGCTTCTGTGTTAGAAATGAAAATGGGAACTGAGGGAAGATACGTAAGTTTTTCTTCCAACGGCGACTAGTAGCTTTTGTTAAGTGAATAGTGATCTCAATACTTCCCTCAGCATCTCAAAAAACACCTAAAAGCATGGATTTTCTCTTGGCCTGTTTTGAAAAGCTCTCCCCCCCCCGTCAGTTCAGGATTGGAGATGGGGCATTGATCCAATGTAAAATTATAATAATAATCTCTAACTGTGTGGGATTTCAACCCATTTAGCTCTCGGAATAACCAAAGTTTAAAGTTGGGAACTATTTTCAACACAAGGGCCTAATTTATATTTTTAGCAGCATTTGGGGGCTGCATGACCATGGTAGGTAGGACCAGAGTCAAAAAATGATGCAGTAATAGATGTGACCCTTACCTTTGTACAGTAGGCTACATCCTAGCCATGTAAAAGTCAATAGGTTTTCAATGGGCCACTCCTCTCCACTGTCCATTTATATAGAGCCAGATGGACTGAAACATCCCTCTAGGCCGGGGGTCGGCAACCTGCGGCTCCGGAGCCGCATGCGGCTCTTTAAAGCCTTTGCTGCGGCTCCGGGGCGGAGGCGCGGGGCGGAGGCGAGGGGACGGGGCGATGGGCGGGCGCGAGGGGAGGGCGCGAGGGAAGGAGGCGAGGGGCGGGGGCGGAGGCGAGGGGAGGGCGCGAGGGGCGGGGGCGAGGGGAGGGCGCGAGGGAAGGGGGAGGGGCGAGGGCGCGAGGGAAGGAGGCGAGGGGCGGGGGCGAGGGGAGGAGGCGGAGGAGTTAGTTGCCTGAAGCCACTGTTCAAAACTGGTCACTGTTTTGAAGGGGGGTGAAGAACACACACTAAAAAAAAAGGTAACTTGTTAATTTAATGTTTATTATGTTTACTGATTTGTGCTTTGTGACTGTTTGAGGTGGGTTTTTTTTCTTGGGAGGCTGGGCGGCGCGAAGAGAGGGAGGCTTGTGGTAGCCTTGTCTCTAGCAAAGTAAGTCCTCGCTATTTGGTCACATGCGCAGTGGCTTCGGAGCTCCAACACTTGCTTTGCCGGCTGCTTTCAAAAGCGTCGGAATCAGCTGTGCTGTTGCTGGGTAACCGGATCGTCCCAGCAGCCATCTTTATCTGCCCATGTGGTCTTCTGAGGCGGCCGCCATCTTACTATAGGAAATTCCACGTGGGAGTTAGTTGCCTGAAGCCCCTTTTTAAACTTAAGCAGGGGAAAGTTTTTGGGGAACGTTATGCAACAGCTTATTGCTGGTCTTTGTCGTCCCGCCTTTGTAAGCAGGCTGCATTGAAAGGGGGCATATACACTGGTCACTGTTTTGAAGGGGAGTGAAGAACACACACTCAAAAAAAAGTAACTTGTTAATTTAATGTTTATTTCTATGAGGAGGAGTAATTCTGAGGGGTCAAACAAAGAAATAATAAAAAGTGTCAAAAAAGGTATTTTTATAATGATGAATGCCTCATTATTATATATTATTTACATCAGGCACTGATTTATGGTACACTGGGGCCCTGATTAATTTTCTATGGCATTTTGGGGCATTGGTTATTGGGCATAGCAAGTTGTGGTCGCGTGGAATTTGTGCTTTGTGACCGTTTGAAGTGGGGTTTTTTTCTTGGGAGGCTGGGCGGCGCGAAGAGAGGGATTATTTTTATAATGACGAGGATGACATTGGGCCCTCATTATTAATTATTATTTACATCAGGCACTGATTATGATTTATGGTTCACTGGGGCCCTGATTAATTTTCTTTGGCATTTTGTGGCATTGATTATTGGGCATAGCAAGTCGCGGTCGCGTGGAATTCCACGTGGAGTTAGTTGCCGGAAGCCCCTTTTTAAGCGAAGCCCCTTTTTAAACTTAAGCGGGGGAAAGTTTGGTGAAAGTTTGGTGAATTGCTGCCAAGGAGTATGGTGGAGTCTCCTTCTTTGGAGGTCTTTAAGCAGAGGCTTGACAACCATATCTCAGGAGTGCTCTGATGGTGTTTCCTGCTTGGCAGGGGGTTGGACTCGATGGCCCTTGTGGTCTCTTCCACATATGTATGTGAGCAGGTCTTCTCCAATATTAAAAACAAACACCGATCACGCCTCACAGATGACAGCTTGCAAGCCTGTGTGAAAATGAAGGTGACGTCTTACAGCCCTGATGTGCAGACACTGAGCACTGAGGTTCAGGAGCAAAAGTCCCATTAACCTGGTTACCTGGTTGTAAATTAAATATTTTAATTAGCTATTAATTTGTCCTTTTTTCTTGAGATTGACAGCTGACTGCACGATCCTGTATATATAGCATTAAGGCCAGAAACAATATATGCAGTGTTATATTTGTTTTAAATGTTGCAATGTTTTTGCGGCTCCCAGTTGTTGTTGTTTTTTCGGAAACGGGTCCAAGTGGCTCTTTTTGTCTTAAAGGTTGCAGACCCCTGCTCTAGGCAAACAAAAGGCATCATAGTTCAAGGTCTAGTTTCAGTCAGGCAAAAGCACCTGAGGCAGAGCAGGGTCAGTGGATGGCTTGGTTAGGGCCATATAGGTCTGAAGGGCCACATCAGCAGTGGCGTAGCGTGGGGGGTGCAGGGGGGGCCGGCCGCACCGGGCGCAACATCGGGGGGTGGGGGGGCGCGCTCGCCGCCTCCGGAGTCGCCGAAGAGCCTCGGGCACAGGCTGTAGCAGAGCCCCATGTCTCGCGGGACCGACGAGCTGGCAGCGGCTCTCAGCGCTCACCGCGTTCCCCGCGCATCAGGGCCACGGAGGGCGCGCCAGGCAGCCCCTCCTCACAGCCCCGCCGCCGCCGCTGCTGCTGCAGCTGCTGGGCCATGTTGCATTTTCCTCGCCTCTCTGCCCTCCTCCTCCGGGCAAGCGGCGTCGTTTGGGCGGCAGCACCAGCGGCAACTCGCCTCAGATCACCTGACACGGACCCGCCGCCGCCGCCGTGGCTACCTTACCGTAAATACCCCAGCCCAGGCAGCAGC